ACATCCACACAAAAAATTACTATTTGAATCTTGTTATTACAAGGCAACTTGAAACGATAAGATAAAACACATTCGAATATGACTACAGTCATATTCAATAATAGTCATATTCTAATATGACTACAGTCATATTCAACGACAGTCATATTAGAATATGACTATAGTCATATTACTGCTGCTGTTCAAATCTGAAATTGTATTTTCAGATCTGGAGAAAAAATTAGAAATTTTTTTTCTCGAAAAAGACATAAATAAAGATAGAGAATAACGAAACAGAGGGAGGCAAGTCGATGACAACGGCGGTTGCGGCGGTGACGAAAGAGACAGTAAGAGAGGCGGCGACGATAGTGGTGAACAAATCTAGCAAAAAAAAAAAAACTGAGAAATCGAGAGAAATAATGAAAATGAGAGAAACAACCTTATGTGGAAACGAAGGAGGCGGCGGCGGCAAATGGTATCCACGCTCAAACATTCTCAGATAAATAAAACGAACTTGAACAACATAACGAAAAAAATAAAAATCATAGCTCTTATCATGCCAATCCACAAGTATCAGTGTATACAAACATGCACTAGGATCCGAGATAACAAAAACTCAGAAAATTAATAAAATGCAAGATAATTGAAATCTATGCATTCATAACAAACAAATGATAAAATTGAAAAATTCAAATCCAGAACGAGCTTTACGGTTAATTAATTCGAGAAAAAATAAAAAATAAATTCTACCGATTAATATTATAGATCTCGGCAGGCAGCGGAGGGAGAAGGGATGCATCGTTCGAATGACACTTTTGACGGAGTACCGCGACGGCGGTTCTGGTGAAGGGCGGCGGAGGTGTTTTGGCGGAGAGCGACGGCTATGGTGAGAACATGGGCGGTGTAGGGTAATTTTCAGAACTCCGTCGGTGTCTAGCCGCTAGTCCTTTACCGCCTTTGTTTGTCGAATCCGGCCACCGGTGATTTTCTGTTGCCTCTTCGATTTCGTAGTGATGGAAAGAGTAGATCTCGGGTTTGAGGAAGAAGAATAATGAAGAGAGAAAACAGATCGGTTGAAAATCCGAGAAGTGAAGGGCGGCGGCCATGGTGAGAACATGGGCGGCGTAGGGTAATTTTCAGAAAACTCCGTCGGTGTCTAGCCGCTAGTCCTTTACCGCCTCTGTTTGTCGACTCCGGCCACCGGTGATTTTCTGTTGCCTCTTTGATTTTGTAGTGATGGAAAGAGTAGATCTAGGGTTTGAGGAAGAAGAAAAATGAAGAGAAAAAACAAATCGGTTGAAAAATCCGAGCATGACGATTGATAGCGGAAGAAAAAAATTAGGATTTAAGGTTATAGGGTTGGGGGTATTTTTGTCTTATCACATAAGTCTAGGGGGTCTCACAAATTCAAACTGGAATTTGGGTTTATGCAAAAGTCATTAAAGTTAATTGGATTTAGTTCAAAATATTTTCTATTTAAGGGGGTATTGCATATTTCCCCTAATATTATTATAAATAAATGAAACATTCATGTATATGTCAATATCACCCTCAACTATTTATATCCAATTCTTAATTGTAACCCCAGTTTAATCAATTTTGTCCACAAAAATCTAATTTTGACTATAAACATTCAATTTTGACTTTTTTCTGCATGATACTTTAATATGCTCCAATTTCATCCTTAACTTATTTTAATCTCAATTTGACCCCAAATTTCACAAATTATTCAATTTTGACCCAAATGTTTTTTTCAAAAACCAAATTTTGCCGCCGGATTCCAGCGTTGACTTCAATTTTCTTTTCTTTCTTTCGGATTTTTTTGCCGGTTTTCGGCGTCGACTTTTTTTAGTGTTTTTTTATGTTTTTTTCCCTTTTTTTTGTACGTCCACCGCTCAACGTTGACCGTAATTGTGTTGTCACTGATAGTAAATTAACGTAGTTATACTGTCAATGACAGTTAATTTAAGTAATTGTACTGTCGTTGACAATACATTTATGTAATCGTTCTGCCATTGACAGTAAATTAACGTAATATTATTATATTTTTTATTTTTTGTTATTTTTTTTTTATTTTGTTTGATTTGTTGACAAGTCAACGTAATTATATTATTGTCCAGTAAAATAATTGTAAACACAATAATATTACTGTCAACAACATCAATATTATTATATTTTTGGGTTTTTTGGTATGTTTGAGTTATTCACGGAGTAACGTAATAATATTACTGTCTATTATTGTAATATTACTGTAAACACAATAATATTATTGTAGTTGCCGGTAATATTACTGTTTTTATAGTAATATTGATGTCAACCACATAAATATTATTATTTTGTTTGGATTTTTTTTGTTTGTTTGAGTTATTGACGGGGTAACGTAATAAAATACTGTCTATTATTGTAATATTACTGTGGTTGACGGTAATATTACTGTTGTTATAGTAATATTACTGTCACTCACAGTAATATTAATTCTTTTGGCTTTTTATTATGTTTACATTTGTTGAACGGTCAACATAGTAATATTACTCTATTACACAATAATAATGAGTTTTGTTGTGTTAATATTACAGTGCTAGAGATTAATATAGCAATATTACTGTGTTAAACTGTAGTTTAGTTAATTTTACTAAAACAGTAATATAGTTAATATTAATGTCAATCACAGCAATATTGTTGTTTAAACGAAAAAAAAAATTTACAGAAAGAAAGAGAATAAATAAATAAATAAATAAAAAATCGAAAAAGTCAATGCCGGAGGCCGGCGAAAAAATTCGGAAGAAAAAAAAAAGATAAAAAACAAAGTCAACGCCGGAGACCTTGTTGAACGCCGTCAACGCCGGAATCCGGCGGGAATTTTTTTTTTTTTGAAATTTAAAAAAAAAAAAGGTTTTGGGTCAAAATTGAATAATTTGTGAAATTTAGGGTCAAATTAAGTTAATGATGAAATTGGAGCATAGTAAAGTATGAGGGGTTATTTTAGTCCTTTACTAAAATCTGGACCATGTGTGAACTTATTGGTAAAAGAGATTTTTGACCCGATCTCTTTATGAATACGCACCAATTAATGGGCATATTTGTAATGACCCCTTATATTACTCCCTTCTTTCAGTTATGCATAAATATTAAAAAAATAATAAATATATTTTCGATTTAGAAAAATAAATATAGTTAGATTAAGATACTCTTATTTATTAATTAATACAGATAGAGTGTTAGAGACTTAATAAAGATATATATATATATATATATATATATATATATATATATGGCAAATGGCAAAAAGGCCCATCACATGGGACTTAAATGCATTTTAGTCCACAAAAAAAACAGTCTCTCAATTAAGCCCATCCCCATGTCTTTAGTCTAAAATACCCTCAATAATATAATTCTTAACAATTTAACCCATTATGCTCTAACTTCCTTAATATTACACATTGACCCCGGATTTAAACAAATATATCACATTAACCCCCAAAACTTTTTTTTTTTTCAGAAAATAATTTTTTTTTTGAACTGTTTTTTTTCCGGCCAGATTTCGGCGTTGACCGCCGGAGACCGCCGGTTTCCGGCGTTGACTTTTTTTTTTTTTTTTTGAATTGTTTTTTCTTAGAAAAAAAATATTTTAATTAATATTACTGTCTTGACTACTAAATTACTGTCTCAGACAGTAATATTACTGTTTGGGACAGTAATATTATGAATATTATTTTTCCGAACAGTAATATTATTAATATTATTGTCTAAGACAGTTAAATTACTGTTGGAGACAGTAATTTAACATCCAAGACAGTAATATTAATTAAAATAAATTTTTTTAAGGAAAAAAAAAAAAAAAAAAAGTCAATTAACAGT